GTAAAAGTGTAAAACTAACAAAATACTAGTAAGTACAAGTGATGGTGATGACACTGAGTTCTGCCAGTAGACACGGGTTTTTGGGAATCTTTGTACTGGACTGCAATAAATCTTATATAAAAAGGTACAGATTTCACTAGTAGCTAGCTAGTTAGTTTCCTGTTTCATATTCAATTAATGGACACCGGCTGGTGAATATTCATGAAAGACTAGCCCATCCTGTTGCAACTATTTCCAATTTCTGACAAAACAACAAAGAAGAAGAGAGAGTGATATTAATTAAGAAATAATAAATTGAAACCTCTTATTAAAAAAAAAAAAAAACTTAAAAACGTGAACAGCAGGGAAGTGTTTTTTTTTTTTTTTTTTGGCACAAAGGGAGTTGGGGGTAAGCCGGTAAAGGGAAAGGGAAACGAGGGTAAGGGAGTTTTTATTTTAATAAGGGTAATAGTTAGGAAATTAGTATGAGTTAGTTATTAGCAACTGAAATTTTGCATTTTGATGAAGTTCACAACGGTGGTAGAACTTGAAATTCTGACCACTGCCTCATCTAAGTCTAAAACTTAAGGACAAATCATTAGGTCTCAGCCCTATTCGCAAGGGTAAAGGAGTTCGAATCTTAATGGTGTGGGTGAAAAATTTATATATGATCACGTAAGTTATACATCAAACTAAATTACAGGAAAGTTTTAATTTTAAATTAAAGTTTTATTTTAATACTAACAACTTCAAGTGATGTAAGTTTCTTTTCGGTGAGAATTAAAGAGTCTTGACTTGAGCTGTTGAGCATGCATTAAGATGGGGTTGGTGAGAGGATGAGCAAGAGGAAGGCATGTCTTATGTGCAGATGGTCGCAATAATCGTAATTAAAGAAGTGTAAACACAGTTAATTGAGCAAGCAATATTTCAAAGTCATGAAAACGTGTTAGCCAGAGCGACAAAATAACAGTTTGACTTTCAGGTTCCTCACCAAATAAGATGGAATTTTGTGAAAACTTGAAAAGAAAAAAAGACAAAATAAACGGTTTTTTGTTTTTTTTGGGGGGGTGGGGGGGCTTGCAAGTCCAAGACTTTGGTTTGTTGTCATTATATGAGATCCCAAGCTATTGGGTTGAATTTTGGATGGGGTAGGGGCAGTCCCAAGAAGGAGGAGATTGTTTTTTTTTTTTCTTTTTTTTGATAAGAGTAATTGTTAAGGATTAATATGATAGAGATGTTAGTGGAGAGTATTAAATTCAAGACATGAGAGAGTGTAAATCACTCTTTGAAATAACAAATGACTACTGTACCATGAAACAAGTGATTACTGTACCTATGTACCACGTAGAATGCAAAAAGGAGGAGATTGTGTTCATAGATAGGAGTGGGCTTGGGGAGTAACAGTGGCGGGGTTTAGGTTGGTTTAATTAGTCCGTTTGCAAACAGCACCGTCGAACCGACAATACCTCTTCAAAGTCAAGGTCTTTTTTGTGACGGATACTTCCATCGAATCCTGGAGTTTTTTCAAGGCATCAATATTTTCCATTACAGGTAAGCTCCTGCTCCTCTTTCACAAATCATCCTTTGGTTTCGCTTTTCATTACTTCTTTAGGCCTATTCTGTAGCTGATCTGAATCATGCTTTTCTATCATTGTCATGATAAATTGTTTATGGTGGGTATTTCTTAATTGTTTGTTTCTGATTGTGGGTTTTTACAGTTATCAGACAGGAGAATCATTAGTGATTCATGATTAACTGCTAATATACTGTGGGGGTTTATGTATTTTTGATTGTTGGACTTGGTGCAAATGTTACAAATATCAGTTCATTTTTTTAGGTGGGTATTTTCATTTTGTGTTTCCAGGTGAGTTCAGTATCTATGGATCCATTTAGTGTTTGTCTGAATAAAAATTAGTAAAGGGAAGGGAATGAAGGGGAAGGGAAGGAGAAGTGAAAAGAAGGAAATGATTGATGATAAATTTATTTGAATAGATAAAAATAGAATAGAATGGAGATAATATTTTTATTTAATAGTTATTAAATTGTTTCAAAT